GTGCCCTGCTCTCTCATCAGACCATTGCACATGCTTTCCACCAACCCAAACTCCTGGTGGATTTCTGCTTATGCTTCAAGACCCAGCTCATTTGCTACCTTCTGTGTGAAAGCTCACCTGATCTCTGCCCCCTCCCCCTTGCTCCCACAGTCCTCTGCTGATGCTTCTTTAGTATGCTACCTATTGCGACATTGTAATCGTCTGGGCATGGATTTGGGGGTTATATCTAGATTCGAATCCTAGCTCTTCGGCTTTCTGCTGTGTGGCTTTTAACAAGTTATATTAACTTCTTTGGGCCTCAGTCTTATGATCTGCAAAATATGGCTTTTAAGACCTATCACAGGATTGTTGGGAGGTCTGTGTGTAATTTAAGTGTGTCAAAGGTCTTAATTAGCACAGTGCCTAGGACAGAGTAATTACTGAATAAATTTTAGCTTTTCTTTTCTTTCTTCTCCTCTTGACCTTGAGCTCGCAGGGATCAGGAACATGACTTGAATATCTTGGTAACCCAGGTGCCTAACTTGTGTCTATAGTGTGGTTCCAATATTTTATGTTGTTGATGAAAACACAACCCAGTGGATAGTAGGAGATCAGTGCCTGTTTGGTTGAATGGTGTGGTGGTTTGAATTATTGGTCCCAAATTTTTACACCCCTGTAGCAGACATCCATACCTTTGCCATGGCTTCATGATGGACAGAGTGAAATTCTCCATTTCTTGACTCTGGGATTGTCCACCTAACTTTTTGGCCATTGGGAAGTTAGAGGATGTGATTCAAGAAGAGGCTTGAAATGTCTTGGGTGACTGGGCTTACCCTCTTTTGTGCTTCCTCCATTGCCATAAGGAAGACATGCCCCAGAGGCTGGTCCCAGAAGAGTGAGAACTATGTGAAACAGACCTGAATCTAATCCATGGCCTGGAGTCAAACCTAGCTGAACCTAGTCTAGAACAGCCAAACTCTAGCCACTCTCTTACCTACTAAGTTATATGGTGGTCTTTTACATAGGAAAAGCTGGAGTTACACATGCTCAGAAAGAGGAAAAGAACTGATTACTACCGTCTAGCTTTTGTGATCTGGTTTTAAGGACTAGTCATACAAACATGAAACAATACATCATGAAAATTTAGGGAGCGGCATTGCTGAAATATGGGAGTGAGGTTGATGATGAAAAAAATACGTTGAAACTCAAGTCATATGAAGGGTTATGGCTGAGCTCTTCTGCTTGAATTTTATATCCAGACCTGAATGAAGAAAAGTCCTCTAACAGCCGGAGTGAGGAGGGGCCCTCGTCTGATTGCCCATTTCATGGGCATGGACTCTTAGAATCCTCTCACTGGGAGAGATTTCCAGAGTTCATCTGGCCCAGCTTCTTGTCCCCTGCACAAATGTATTCTGTGGCATCCTGATGGAAGCTGATCCAAATTTAGTCACTTACGTGCTGTGTGATCTTAGATAACTACAAAAAAATGTTGGAGTCAGACAGACTTGGTTTTAAATCCTAGCATTGTGACCTTAAGAATTTACTCATTTTTGGATCTTTCATCTCCACTTGAAAATAGAGATAATGAGAATGCCTACCTCACAGAGCTATTGGGAGAGTTAACTAGACAAAAAATGGCACATTCATCACAGCACCTGGCATCAAATGCAATGGCTCCCTTCCTGCTTTGGACCAGAACAGAATACACCAACCTTCTGCTATACGAAAGCCTTCTGACGTCTCTATAAAGAGGGGGTGGGGGAGAACCAAGCTGAGCTCCAACTGGGCCCTACCATGGTCCAATCCAGATGCTGAGCCTGCTGGCCTGAATCAGTTGTCTCCTTCCCAACTCACTTGATGGGGCATTTCAATTTTAAATTGTCAGTTGTCAGCACATTTGAATGTCCTGGGACTAGCAAAACATCAGAGGCAATTATTGACTGTTTCATTGATTTAATCAGATAGTTTTGCACAAATTGTAATTCATAAAATTCCGGGCTTCTTGTAGTCATCCATAAGCAGAGTTCCATTGTAACTTAAAATGGAAATTACCCGTCATCCCTATAAGGTGGGATCTAGAAAAGCAGAGATGGATCAGTGTGAGCTACGATGCATGTAGAAAATGGGGGAGGGGATGGTTCAGAGACCAGAGAGCAAGTTCTAAATGAGCTGGACTGTGCATCTGAATGAGAAGAGAAGACAGAAAAGGAGGTTGGGGGCAGGTCAGGAACACCTTGAATAACAAGGAGTTTGACCTTTGTAGGCATTAGGAAACCATTGAAAGTTTTTGAGCAAGAAAATGACATGGCCAGAGCTTTGCTTCAGGGAGATAACTCTGGCAAGAAGGAGGGAATGGATTCGTTTGGTAGGGGGCGGTAAAACTAGAGACGGAAGAATATTTAAGAGTCTATTGCAAGAGTCAACTGGACAAGAGGTGATAAAAGTTGTGCTTGGGTCCTGGAAAATAGAGAACAAATATGAGACATATTGCAGTGAAAAATCTACAGGGCTTATTGACTGACCAGGAAAGGCAAAGAGAGAGGGAAAGATGACTCAGGTTTTAAGCCCAGGGAAAGTGACTGAGTTATCTAATTTAACATGCAGGATGTGGAGCATACCTAGCGTCACCAGGTTTTTCTCATTTATGCTTAATGCGTATATATGTGTATATATAGTTCCATGTATATATAGAACAGTATAAAATAAATCAATAGCCCGTTACACACACACACACACACACACACACACACACACACACACACACACTCTATTCCAATTCAATATTCATTTGCTTTAAGTGTATGTAATTATGGATATTGTGAAATCAGGGTATAAGGCTTTCTAACTTCACCTGAGAAATTACAGTTTTCATACTGACAGTGTAGGGATTATATTTTAGGATTTTGAAACTATTGTTAGTCCTACTGATAATAGTAGCTTGCAGTTGACTGAGTACTTATGTGCCAATGCTTTTCACACATCACTTCACTTGTCCTCGCAACAGTCTGTGAAATGGACTCTGTTAAGGGTCTCCCCAAGCCACACCCAACTCCATCTCTCCTTGCTTCCCACAGTAAAGGCTGGCCTCCTTTGCAATAGGAGTAGCCACATAATGCAGGTCTACACAAGGAAAACGTAAATGACATCTGCTTGGAATGTTCTAGGTCAGACAGTGGCCTCCTGATAGCAGTATAAAAGGAGACTGAGTTGGCACTTCCTCTGTCCCCATATTACCAGCTTGAACATGGTATATATGCTTAAAACAGACAGCCATTTGTGACCACAGGTGACACACATGTAGATGAAAAGCCAGTGGCTCAGGAGATCAGAAGACAAAACTGTGTGACCTCAGTGGTACTGTTGAGCCACCAAACCAGCCTTGGAACCACTATATCTAGGCTTCTTGATAAGTGAGACAACAGATATCTGCAATGTTCAAGCCACCATTGATTGTTTTTCTGTTATTTACAGACATATGCACCCTGATGTTCAGTACTTGTCTGGGCCCAAGCCAGGAAATGGTGGAGCTGGAAATCAAACCCAGGTCCTTCTGACTCCAAAGCCATACTATTAGCTGTCACACATCCTCCCTTCCAATACCCATACGGAGCAACGTGAAGGGCTTATTTTGTTGTATGTGATGGATACGTTCTGCCGTCTTTTCCATGGTCTCCATTGCTTACTTCTTCCTCCACAGTTTTTGCTGTCTCTTAAGTGTCAGACACTGAGTGAAACCATAGGAGTTAGTAAGATGATTATGATTGAATCCCTGTCCTCAAGTTCATGATATAGAGGAGGGGTTGGCAAGCTATGGCCCACGGGCCCAGTTTGGCCCACTCCCTGTTCTTGTACAACCTGCAAGCTAGGAGTGGTTTTTATATTGTCAAATGGTTGAAAGAAAATCAAAAGAAGAGTATTTCATGACCTGTAAAAATTACATGGAACTCAAATTCAAGTTTAGTGTTCATAAATACAATTATATTAAAATACAGCCAGGCCCATTTGTTTAGGTATTACCTATGGCTTCAGCTGCAGAGTTGAATAGTTGCAACAGAGATCATATGGCCTGCAAAACCTAAAATATTTAGTACCTGGCCCTTTACAGAAAAACTTTGCCGATCCTTGGTCTGGAGGAGTAGGGGCATCTAGAGAGGGATTAGGTAAATGAACAACTCATTCCAGGTAAGGGAAAGGGAAGAGATGTATACTTGAAGTACTTAGAAAAATTTCCCAAAGTAACAGAAGAATTCAAAGCTCTGAGTCTTATTGCTAGACTTTTCCCATTTAAAGATAGATTCTAAAAGAGGTTGGAGGTGGGGGTGGACCAGGATGTCTGTCAGGGTAACTTACCTTTGTCTAATGTCTTTCGTTACTTGTCATTCCTTAGACACAGGACCCTGTGCTCCAGTAGGTTTGAACTCCACCCAAATGGAGAGAACGATGATGAATTCTTTTAATACACACTATAAAATTACCTTGGAAAAAATTAATTTAATTAAAAAAAATTTTTTTAAATTTTAATTAATTTAAAAAATTAATTAAAAAAAATTTAATTAAGGCCCTCAGAGCCTCCACATATTGGCTTTTGCCTGAAACTCTTACGCTGGAGATTTTTGTGAGCACGTGAGCCATTCCTCTTGAATCCTAGTTCCTGTCAAGCAGGTCCTGCTAACCTCAGGGACACCACATACCTTGGACACCTCCCTGCGTTGGTGGAAAAAGACCTTTCCATGAACCTAACTCTAAAAATCAATAGAACTGTTTAATTTTCTTTCTTTTTTTTCCTCAAAGAAAGTGGCAGGACATCTCTTGCAATAATAATGGTGCTTGTTGTTGGCACATAATCACACAACTGATCACTTTTCTGTCCATTTTGATTCTGACTCTGAAAATAGCCGTGACCCAAATAATTTGATCATAATGAAAATTGGTGAAACTATGTAAAAGTACACTTCTGATGTACTAACAAAAGAGACTTTTGAGCTCAATGAACTCATACCCTTTTCGTCTTTATTTTACAGATGAGGACACTGAACTTAGTGAGAAAGGCAGCTAATCAATGGCAGATCATGTATGCTTTCCAGTTATCGTGAAAATGAAGACCGAGGCTACCTGGCACCTTCGTCAATCACATGTGTGGTTTAGAGGCGGGGTGAGTCTATAATTTGTTATCAAAACTGAAATACTTTGGCTCAACAGGCATAAAGCAAAACTGTTCACCAAGACCAACAGTCACCCTATATGTAGGTAAGGCAGGTGCAGTAGGTCATGTAGACCTTTGGACTCATTCTTTTTTTTAAATTTTTATTTTATATTGGAGTATAGTTGATTTACAATGTTGTGTTCATTGTAGGTGTATAGCAAAGTGATTCAATTATGCGTATACATATATCCATTCTTTTTCAGATTCTTTTCCCGTATAGGTTATTACAGAATATTGAGTAGAGTTCCCTGTGCTATACAGTAGGTCCTTGTTGATTATCTATTTTACATATAATAGTGTGTATGTGTTAATCCCAAACTCCTAATTTATCCCTCCCCTCACCTTTCCCCTTTGGTAACCATAAGTTTGTTTTCAAAGTCTGTAAGTCTGTTTCTGTTTTGTAAATTAGTTCATTTGTATCATATTTTTTAGATTCTACATATAAGTGATATATTAGTCTTTCTCTCTCTTACTTAGTATGATAATCTCTAGGTCCATCCATGTTGCTGCAAATGGCATTATTTCATTCTTTTTTATGGCTGAGTGATATTCCATTGTATATATGTACCACATCTTCTTTATCCATTCCTCTGTTGATGGACATTTAGGTTGCTTCCGTGTCTTGGCTATTGTAAATAGTGCTGCAATGAACACTGGGGTGCATGTATCTTTTCAAATAATGTTTTTCTCCAGATATATGCCCAGGAGTAGGATTGCTGGATCGTATGGCAACTCTATTTTTAGTTTTTTAAGGAACCTCCATACTGTTCTCCATAGTGGTTGTACCAATTTACATTCCAACCAATAGGAGGAGGGTTCCCTTTTCTCCACACCCTTTCCAGCGTTTATTGTTTGTGGACTCATTCTGATAATCAGGTGTTTCTCTAAAATTTACATCTGTTTCCTGACTTGTATCTCTAGTCCTTTGGATCTTGTAACCTTTGCACTCGATCGATGAGGGCCAGGCCCCTGGAACAGCTTCTTAGTAGAGATCCAGTCCTGGTTTCTCCCACTGATTACTGGTTTTATGTGTATCCAGAGCTTCGGCAATGGAGAAGTCAGGAGCTGGATCAAAGAGGAGAATGTGGGTGTGACAGGTGCTCCTACAATGACACAACGATTCTCTCTTTCCAAGGTTCAGATTCCTGTCTTCATGTTCTGGTAGAATGTTTTCAAACAGGACTAGTGGTTGGTTCTAGACAAACCAGCATAGGATATCCAGGCAGAGGAAGAAAGAGAATGAAGATTTTTTTCTTGACATTGAGTGTGTGTTTTGTTGGGTTTTGTTTTTAGAAAAGAGTAGCAGTTAATCAATGCTTATTGATTATCAATGGTGGCCTCATCTCTGAGCTATGTGGAAAAGCTAAGAAACGTGACAGGGAAAGGAAGAGAAAATACAATTATTCCATTATTGCTTATGGTGAAGAACTAATTAAGGAAAAAGAGAGCTAAGGGCATTAAAATAATACTGTACTTGTAAAGGCAGCTGTTAGAACAAAAATACAAATCTTCCTAAATATCAGAATAAGAAGACACAAAATAACTATAGACTACATAATGAAAGATTTAAAAAAATAGAACTATTCAACAGCAACATAGTGCAAATAATATGATAGTACAAAGACCAAGCATATTTGACCTGTTATTAGAGTAATTTTTAAAAATAAATTTATTCATTTATTTTTATTTTTGGCTGCGTTGGGTCTTCATTGCTGTGCGTGGGCTTTCTCTAATTGCGGTGAACGGGGGCTACACTTCATTGCGGTGCGCAGGCTTCTCAATGTGGTGGCTTCTTTTGTTGCGGAGCATGGGCTCTAGGCACGTGGGCTTCAGTAGTTGTGGCGCATGGGCTTTGTTGCTTTGCAGCATGTGGGATCTTCCCAGATCAGGGCTTGAACCTGTGTCCACTGCACTGGCAGGCAGATTCTTTTTTTTTTTTTTTACCTTTTTTGTTTTCCCCATTTTAAAGTCTTTTTTTTTTTAACATCTTTATTGGAGTATAATTGCTTTACAATGGTGTGTTAGTTTCTGCTTTATAACAAAGTGAATCAGCTATAC